ATACACGCATGCTTAAATGTGTAATACAAATAACTTTTTTAAATAGCAACACCTGTACTAGATTCGAAATGTCCTATTTTTTTCAATTAGCATTAATCGATACAATTTTTTACCTCAAATATTACGCGTGAGATTTATCCACGTACTACAGCTTTAAGTTAATTAAAAGTTCTAATTTCGATAGACTTTTCAAAAAATTTTATCGCTAATAATAAATGAATTTAACTACTGTTTTGTGGGGAAAAAAATTATTTTTAAAGATAATCATCATTAAATAACGCACACGTAATTTGTACATACATATATATGCATAGTATACATTGTATACACCTCATGTTGACATAGTGACATCTAAAATATTCTAGGGAATGCATTTTTGTATATGTTCCCAATGTATCAAACCCCCGACCCCTCCACTTTTATGTTAAACATTTTACCATTTTTTGGAAGTATTTTATTATACATTCAAATTATTTATCAAGGTATTGTAATAATATATATATATATATATGTAATAATATAATAATATTACTGTATTTGGTTTTTTTTATGTTTTACAAAAATAATATTTCTATAATACAAAACAGGTATGAGAAAAATTCCATTCTAGTGACAGAGCTCTGCTGCTCATGGGTGCTTTTTTAAAATATATATAATTTTTCTTTAGTTACTTTGATTGTTTTGATATTTTTATTTAAAAATAAAATACAAATACATTAATTTTTTAAACAATATTATCAACTGTATGCGCAAATCTTAGTTTCAAACTGTATACAATGTATTATTATTATTTCTGTTGATATAATGTCTTTAAGTGTTTACAAAAATGTAAACAATTTAGATTAACCACTTTGTATACATTATATTCTATTGTTGAACTATTGCGATTAACTCATATAATCATGGTGAAATTAAATAACAATAGGAATAAAGTCATTTGGAGTTAAGGTCAATAAAAACATCAATTGAACTACAAGTCCAAGTACTACCGGAAAATATGTAAATCACAATAATATTTAAAATAAAATAAAAAATTATAATTAATAATTCATTTAAACAAATTATTGGCCTTGAAATTAAAATGCAAACATGCATCGAATAGCTATTATAATTATTTAGAAGTTACGTATTTTAGACATATTAACTGCAGTTATACGATTAATTAAATCTGAGTTAATAGATTTTTCAAAAAAAAAAAACGTGAGGTCAAACAATAATACATATATAATAATAAGCATCATATCCCACAAATGCTAAATTATTATACCATACATAAAAGTAATACCACCTGGTAATATACTGCGAAAAATATAAATTGACAATACCTTACATTTGCAAAACAACGATACATTTGAAACCAGTAGCGTAGCCAAGGGGTGGGGATTTTAGGTGTTGTAACTCCCCCCCCCATTTATTTCTCTTTAGGTATAGGTTAAGGTAGGTTAAGGTTGTAGAGTAGAAGTTTTCTGTTTCGTGGCTGCCACTTGCCGCTTGTTGTGCACTACGAGTCACTATAGTTTAAGAACTTGATAGTCATGATTCCTTATCTATTAAATAATCATTATCATTCATTGCGCACTTAACATCATATTGGACTATCGATATTCGAATAGCACGCGTATGTTCATGAACCCGTAACCATTTAAAATGTCCATCAAAATGGGTAGACAAATATAGATGATTCATTAATTTTTTTTTTTTGAGTTATTCGATGCAATAATTGATAATTTATCAAACATTTATACTTGGCTTGATAATTATGCTTAATCAGGGGCATACAAATTGCCGTGTGCCAAAAGACAACCAGAATTTATACTGGGACCTTAATTACACAATTACTGGAATTAGTGGGACCTCAACTTTTATATTTGTTTGTAACATTCATTTCTATTTACCCCCATTGAAATTGTGCTAGTGTACAAGAAAATATTATGATATCAGTTATTACTAAATAATATTGGATTAGAATGTACAAACCGATCTGTTAATATCCAATATAGTATAAATACGAGTGTACCACCTGCAGGTTTTTTCTACACACTTACATAATAATTTACTGATTCAATGGTATTGTATAATAAACGGTGCATTTTATGTATTTGATCGTTTTATAATTATTATTCCAAAATATAAGTAAACCATGAAAAAGATATTAACACGGTCAATATTTAAAGGACGTAAATTATAATATAATATAGTGACGAGAATCTATATAGCTGATGCACGTTATCTCTTAGTAATAATACGATTAAAGGCGCATCCTTGTATTTAATTATTATATTCGATCATCAAAGGTTTGTCTCGAGTTTTATGAAATATCAAAAAAAAAAAATTAAAAATCATATTTTAAAGGTTATACAATATGTTAATATTACAAACGATTTATGAAAAATGAAAAACACATTTCCTATGGGAGAACAAAGTTTCCCGTTATTACCCATATCGCATATAATATGTTACGATACTCCGGTGGTTAATATAACGAGAGGTAATACATTTAACCCTGGCCCTTATTTGATCTAACGAGAACTTCGTAACAGGACAAAATGGAGAATCGCTACTTGGACTTATTCAAGTATTGCGAAATTCGACCATATACCCGCCTAATACAATTTTCGTTTACTTCTTTTTATTATTGATAAACAATTTTAAAAATACGAAAAAGTCGCTGAACCTTCTCTGGGATATTACTCAAATAATAAATTCCCCTTGAACTTTGTTAATGCGGTGTGGCTTAAAGATCGCCAAAACAGTTTCCCGAGACGAAATATCAACGGTTCTAAACAATTTGGGGCAGGTAATGGTACTAATAATAGTAAATATATTGTCGGAAAATTTGATACAAATTTAGAACATAGAATACATAAAGCAGTATTTTAATGTATATCTGAATAAAAAAAATAACACGACCAAATAAAATATTCTTCGGTTTGAAAATATCCAACTATTTAGAATTTTCAAAAATGTTCTGTAGGTACAGATATTTAGGTATACCAATTGTATAAATTAAAATTAAAAAAAAAATTAATTTAATGTAATTAATTGCCGTTACCATTTTATTTAATTACCATTTGTATAAATTTGTATGGTAATTTCCAAAAATTTGTTTGACCTACACAATGTGTATGATTTTTTACGAATTATAGACGGTTCAAAACAAATTATTATTAAAAATACACGGGTAAAAAATCGATTCGATTAAATTAAAATTTTCCTTATAGTTCTGAACATTTCTTAAGCTTAATTTATATTTCTATGCAACGATTCGTCGTCGCTAACGTGAAACGATAAAGCAAAATTCGGTTATACAGTTTTTGAATGGCCGTAATTTCGATTGATTTGATTTGATTAATTTAACGATTTTCTTCAATTACATTATGCTTCACTTTTTTTTTTGTTTTCTGGCCACTAAGGTAAACTTTTATTGAACCTTGTATTAAATGTTCAAGCATTTTTGTTAAATCGAATGATTGTATCCATATAATACCAACCAAATAAAAACTCAAAATAACTCGAAAATCTCAGAATATTTTAAACTACACCTAGAAATATCCAATAAAAGCATTTTGTGGAAATTTCAAAAAAAAAAAAAATAGAAAATATTCAAAATTTGATTGAAACAAGATTTTTGGTAAAAGAAATTGTATACAGACACAAAAACATACACACACACACACACACATATTTTAGTAAAACTGTTGCATTCTTTGCTCCGCTCAGTATCTAAAAAAAAACCAAAACCTTATAGTCGCTTGTCTCGATGAATCTAAAAGTTCTAGCACACGTCGACGACGTAATCAGCAGAGTGTAGGCAATACCGAGAATAATAATAATACAAAATCACGGTAACTTTGGAAAAGAAATCACGGTAATGGGAAACGCGTCAAAATCGGTCGACCAGAATGGACAAACTCGTAGTTTTTATAGGCAAATGCAGTCGCCAGTCGGTCGATTCGTGCCATCCGAGAGGACAAACTTATGGCACAACACAACCATTAACCGTTTTAAACCAAAATAAAATAAATCAAAATGTTACTTGAGTAATCGATAAACTCGTTTGTCGACCTAAGGTATACAGTTAAAGAGAAAATAAGCTACTTGTGAGTACTGTCTACCATCACGTACAAATATAATTTTTTTAAACATTTTAATGTCGATATTATAAAAAAGAAAATTTATTAACGTTTCTATCGTGGTATAATATTTTGTGATATTCGACGTTAAACATTCTGATATTCGAGTGAATCATCTTAGAAAATGCATGCTATAAATGATTAGTTGTGCGTATAATAATGCAGGTCTTGTTTATTATTTTTATCTCATTGTTATTTACATTAATATTTAAAATTCAGCAATTTTAGATTGTGAGCATAGAGAGAAATGTATGGTTTTAAACTAATAAAAACCTAAACGAAAAACTTTAAAGCCAATTTAAGGCTTTAGAGATTTCATAATTTTAAATTTGTTCGGTTTTCGCGATTCTACGTCAAATTTCAATAAGAAAATATTTTCTAAAAATAATGTTGTCTAGTTGGTGATGAAGAAAGAAATTTTTTGATTTCCCTAGAATTTTCGGGGAGTAATCGGAAAACGTCGGAAAGACGCGAAAAGTTACTGCATTATTTTACTACTAAGTTATTTTCGATTTTCTTTCTTTGCTGTTATTCATTTGAAAATAATCTTAGAAGTCTTTCCTAAACATGGTAAAATGTTAAAATCATTCTAGTATATTTGAGCTATATTTATAGGCATTTCACGTTTTTGAATTAATTAGTTATTTTTCGATTTATGTAATTATTTATTTATTAAATTTGAAAAAATGTAAAACAAGGTTCATCATAATATATATATATATATATTGCATATGGCATGATATTGGTGTACAACAAAAAAGTAATAACGGAATGTAATAAAAAAAAAAAAAAATAATAAAAATGATAACGGATTAGTATAAATATAAATAAATAAATAATCAAGCTACAAGTAATAACTATTAAATGTTATAAGCGTGTGGCAAGATTACATAGCCAATCTAGCGCTTCCTTGTCTCCATTGCGAAGACCTGATGTTCCTCCACTAAACTTTGTTTCCGAGCATTTCTCAACAATGTGCCTAATAGTTTGGATTTGGCCACAGTTACAGAATGGAGAGTCCACCATACTCCATTTGTGCATCAAATAATTGCATCTTCCCTGTCCAGTTCTTACGCGGTTTAACGCAGTCCATGCTGCACGGGGAAAAACGAAACCTGGAACTAGTTGTGTTGGATTACTTATGAAGTGGTTATTCAGTACTTCTCCGTCCTTCCAATGTAACTTCCATAAGTCCCCTTCTGTGATTATCCTCCTTTTTAACGTCCATATAGGATTTCTAGATTTCAGTCTTTTGTTTGGTGCGTTATAGAAGTCATCGTATATTGGAAGGCTCGGAGAGTTTTGTATTTTCTCAATCATCTTTAGCTCTGCTGAGTGTCTATGCACTTCTGGGAGGGCTATGTGTGAGAGCACTGGTAGCCATTCTAACTTAGTTGATTTGACACATCCTGATATAATTTTCATTGTACGATTTAGTTGTGTGTCGACAGTTTTAGTGTGCATACTCCTAGCCCATACTGGGGCGCAGTATTCTGCAACGTTGTAAACTAATGCCAAGGATGAAATTCGTAAGATTTTTACCCTACATTCCCAACTTGTTCATCATAATATATTGTAGTCATAAATATAAAGCAATATAAGATGCAAATAAGTAGGCTGGGATGTTAGCTTAGTCCATCCAGAACTCACTTAAGCCACATTGGAGGATTTAAGGGGATAACGATCAAATTACCCCTATGCCTGTTGGACTTTTTTTTAAAAATTGTTACTTACTGAAATTTATGTGACGATAATAAAAATATGAATAGGCTATTGTTACCTTATCAGTGTTCCAAGAGTATTGATTTATAACGTTAGGCATTGTTTTTCTTTTATAGCTATTTATCCATAATGATAACCTGATAAATCGCTTCAGTTGCTCGACCTCCCGGGAACATCTCCTAATATACAATTATTATAAAAAACGCCTACAAATTTCTTTATCATCTGTGCTGGAACTAAACTGTCGATTGTGTTTGTATTTGATATCCGTTATCAAATTGACGATATTAATTATCAACGACGTTCAATTTTATAACTACAGACTAATGATAAAAATTCGCCAGAGTGTTTTAGAAATTTCACCACATCTAGAAAAAGCCAATATTAGTTAGAAACTACAACAAAAGAACAATAAGAAAATAATAAAACCGTTATTACTGTAAACTTTCCCCCGTTTTCCTTTGTTTTTTTTCTTGTTTTTTCTAATATTATTTTGAAAACCGATTGAAAAATAAAAAAAAATCTCATCAAAGTACCAACCAGATCAAAAATTCTACAAAAAAAAGCTCAATTGTCGTTTTTTGATTAGAGCACGATTTTTCGTAGAAAAGTTGTTCACAGACACAAACAAAATTTACACATACCTATGGCATAACATATTAAAACCATTTTATTATAAAAGTAAATAAAGTGTATTAAAGTACATATTTAGTATATTTTACACAAATGGCCAACGACATTCTTTTGGTTTAGCTCTGCCACAAATGAGCTCAAGGTCCGCTACCCCTCCCCCCCAAATTAAGTCCGCATCGAATATATACTAAGTAAACATAATCAAGATTAATCAAAATTATCGGGTGTTAAGCTCCCTCCCTAATATTTTTAATTTTCGCGCCTATGATGCTGTGGCTCCCGCGCGCCAAAAATAAATTTCACCCTATAGAGCATACAATATGTGTATGTTATACTTTGCATTAAATAGCTGAAAGTCCGAAATAATGTAATTACTTTCATACTTACTAACATCGATCCGTAAATCAATCGCAAAATCAGATTTGTAAGTTACGAGTTAGTTAACAGACCATTTAAAGAACCGTTGACACTTTACTAGTACTAGTAATGCCTAATGCCGTCGGTGCGCTAATGAGTCTGTGAGTCACTATAGAACGTTTACACAATTCGTCAAATTTGTTTTTTGTTTTGTTTTTTTGGTGAATTTCTCTCCTACAAATGTTCGTCTCGTTCTGATCATTTAGATAATTTTCTGCTCGCGCAAATCAGGTACTATCGAAAAACGGTGATATTTTTTTTTTTTCTCAATGACAACTCTGCTCAGTTTACGTCGCAACAATATGTTTGTGCCGCCGATTTTACGGTAAAAAGCTATTGTCGGGCGCGACGGACGAACGCGCCACGACGGACTACGGCTAAAAATGTAGAACGGGCTAAACGCTAAACAACCGAAACCGGCAAGATTAGCGGGTCGCGTATTCCGTTCAGGCGGTTGGTGCGAGGAGGGGCCGACTGGTGGTGGTCAACCTTGAGAAATCGACCGCGACGGCGACGGTCTCGTGCGTTCAATCGCGCTATTGTGGTGCGCGCTGCCGAGTGACATGCAGTCGGCGACGACGAAACGTACGTCGGTCGTGTTGAAACTGGGCCAGTACGTAGCGCGGTGTCTGACGGCGGCCCAGCCGGACATCTGGTATCTGTTCTTGTACAAGTGCGGACAGCTGGTGGCGTTCAACCTGCACGAGTCCGTGACCTGCAGCGTAGGCATCTTGGACGAATTTTCCCAAGTGCAAGATCAGCCCCCGGAGAATCGCCGACCGTCGTTGTCGCCGCAGTCCCGGTGTTTGACGAGTGGCAGCGACGGCAACGCGGACGCTGACGCCGCCGCCGCAACCATCGGGTCGCTACCGTCAACGTCTCCGCGGCCGAACGCCGCAGCGAGAGACGCTTCGCGGCCGCCGGCACCCGGGCCGGATAACGATCAGTACTGCGGTATGGACGAGGACGACGATACGGACGGAGGAAGCGGCGGCGGCGGCGTCTGTGGTAGAGGCGGCTGGGTCGCTGAAGACGACTATACCGACTCGTCCGACGACGATCCGTTCGTCTTTCTGACGGGCCGCCGGTCCACGTACGCCTCGTCGGGCGGTCGGAGAAGTTCCGTCGGTGTCACCGATACCTCCACCACCGTTCGGCAACAAAGCAGCTGCGTCACCGTCAGCGACACAAGAGGTACGTAAACGGTGACAATATAATCTTATGCATAAAAGGCCAAATCCGTCTGTCTGGTTTTCATTTTTCCGGTTTTTTCCCCCCAACCAATATGAAAACTACTCGGAAAACCAAAAAACGGCTGCCTTCGTGAGCAATTGGATCCGACAAAAAGGAGTCTTGGCTTTTTTTTTATTCGAGCAATATTTCTTGGTATAAACCGCAGTTTGCAAAAATTAAAAACAGTGAAATCGGTAACGCTGCGGCGCGCCGTAAATATTTGCCATTTTACCTATAATTTTCTTTCCGGTTTTTTCGAATTATTTTAAAAACTTCTGGAAAATCAAAAAATGACCTCATCAATACACCAGCTAGAGAAAATTTCCTGTCAGAAAACGTACTACACTCGGTACATCAGAGCAAGATTTCCGGTAGAAAAATTGTTTATAGATAGAATAAAAAAAAATATACGTTACGCTCCGATTTAAAATTTAAATAGGAGAATATTTATGACAGTTATACGTAGCGTTTTTTTTTTTTTTTTTAAATATTATCATACAAAAATGTTACAGCTATGTTAGTTTTGGTATTTTTTGAACAGCCTTAATTCTGTATATTTCGTTTTTTGCGATTAAACTTAAATGTGTTACAAACATTTAAATTGTCTTCAGTGCCGCACTAATAAATAATATCGAACGATTCACCAATATTTGCGTGAAAAATGAATTTGTCAATGATTTTTGTAAACTTCAAAAAATTGTAGAAAATTAACGACTCGTCATTAGTAAACATTTGTAACACCGAAATTGTATTTAAAAATGAATTAATAAATAACCACCTTGGGTTTTGTAAACAAAATTTTTATTTTTAATTTAAAAAAATGTATATATAATATAAAAATCATAATGTATTAACGCAAGGCTCTGGTAGTTAAAAAGAAACAACAACAAACTTGAAATTGTTGTACAGAACAAAAGTTATTTTGTTTGAGTGATCGCCGTGGGACCATCTGTATACTATGCGATAACAACGACGAATGAATGTATAGCAGCCTTGTAAAAAATACTTTTCGAATTGTATTTAAATACAGGTACAAATATATCTATTCAGAAAGTATTTCAAATGCATTTGAGTATATTTTTAAGAAAAAGTATTTAAGAACAAATATAAATATATGGCATATATTCTTCTACTTCTCAAATACTTTTTTATTATAATTTTTTTTTATTCGACTTAATAATATTAATTTTAGGTTTGCGAATTTCGTAATTTCCAACGTAAAATTCATTGTTCAACTATTTTTAAGTATCTATTATTAGAACATTGTATCATCTACTTAATTTTATACTGAAAAATGAAAATAAATACAATTTGATATACATTAATTTTGAAATAATTTAATACTTTGAATGAATTAAAAACATTTTACGAAATAGGAATTATAAATTTATCATGTCATAATCATTTCGAAAATTCTATGAAAATTAACTTAAGCTGCACGCTTTTTTCCAATTGGTATTATGAAAATGTTTGTTGTAAGCCTCCCATGGTAGTTTAATTTCTGTCTCATTCGTCGCAACACTGTCAATTTGCAATTTTCTGACTTCGTACTCCTCGATTTATAACGGGGATGACGCGAGATCCAAATCACGGAATATAAACTGTAATGTATTATTTCATTACTTTAAATATTAAATAACAACACGGGATTTTCAATGCTTGAATTAAGAATGGCATTTACGTGAAATTATTTGAAATTCAAATACAAATAAGTCCAAGGCAGTATTTAAAATACTTTTTAAATATTTAATTCAAAAAGGATTTAAAAAGTTGTCTAAATAATTAATAAAATCTATTGAATATTATTTATAAAATAAATAATTAAATACACAAGTTGGGAGAAAAATTAAATATATGAACCAATGTTCAATTATTCTACGATATGTAATTCAAAAGCAAAATCAATGAAAAATATTAGCTGTTAAATGTTGTTCAGATTCTACTGGAAAGAGTATGATAGAATTGTTACAAAATGCATTGAATGAAGTTAATATTGAAAAAAACAAAATGCATTGGAAATTCAACTGATGGCGCTGCTAATATGCAGGGAATTTACAATAGTTTCACTTCATGGCTGAGTACAGTAGCGCCACAACAAATACGTATTTGGTGTTTCAGTCACAAATTAAATTTGGTGATATGTGATTCTACTAAAAAACCTGTTGTGGTTGTTGACTCTTTTAATTTAATCAATTCATGTACTGTTTTATTTTTCAAAGAGTCATATCAGTGAACGAATACATTTTGGAGAAATATTAGTGAAAATAATAATGAAAACATTCGTCACAAACGCTTAAAACTGATTAGATATACAAGAGGGCCTTTAAAAGAAACAGCAGTAAATATAATTGTTGATAAATATGTCATGTACAATGAAGCAATTTAATTATTATACTTGAACAATTTCTGATAAAAGAATCTTTGAAATCCAATATTCGAATCAAAGCATGTAATCTACTAAAATGTTAAAATATTAAAATATGAAACAATTTTTATTGCAAATTTATTTAAGAAAATGTTTTCAATAACAGGTTCGTTATCTCGATACTTACAGACTAGTGGACTAAACATTCTAAAATGTATACAAATTATTAATGTATCTTTATCTGAACTTAAAAAATATTAAAGAAATAGGTATGGAATGTACAAAGGTCATATGTAATAAGTTTATTTCTAAAATTAATTTTAAAAATTTACAACGAGTTGATGTATCTAAAGAAGATTTGGAAATTGAAGAAATTCAAAATAGATTTAAAGTTAAACGTATTATTACGTTTTATTATGTATTATTGGAAGAAAAATATTGAAAATTATAAGTTATTGATGACCCTATTTTGAATGCCGAAAAGAAATTTACTACGGATGTTTATAGTCGAGTATTTGATACAATTATACAAAGTATGGAAAATTGATCTACAAACAATATTGAACTACTACTTGCTTTATCTTTATTGTCACCTACAAATTTCGATTTATTTAATAATGAAAACGAAATACTTAAAAATGCGTTTACTGAATTATCTGTAAAGTTAAAACCATATCTTGAAGACACTTAAAATAATATTAAAATGAAGCTTTCTGAAAAGTTATTAAGCTTTTCAAAATCTTGGAAGTACCTAAAAAATACGTAGACGATGAATTTAATGAAGGGATATACTATTTGAATCGAGACTCAGAAAATGAAGATGAGGAAAAAGACCTGTCAAAATCGTGCAAAATGTTGAAAAATAGTGCAATTTTTAGTTCAATTTATTAATTAAGTATAATCACTATTTTAACATTTTATATTTATAAGATATACCAAACCAATAAGCGACATAATAATTTGTACATATTTATTTAATAATTTTAAAAATTATGTTTATTGGTTTTTGTTGTTATATACTATAAATAATATATAAGTGTAGTTTTCTATCTTATATGTTTATGTTTTACTTAATTATTTATCATAAATATATATATATATGTGTGTCTTCTAAGTTTTAAGAGACCATATTCATGTTTAATTTTCAATATAGTTTAGATTACAAAGTACTCTGAAGCAACTATGATTAAATGTTTGGGGGACTAAATTTTTTGTTTATTTAGCACTGTAAAGAGTTTAATATTTTGCGATATTTAAAAGAAAGTTTCGATTCTGAGTGGATTTTCGGCAAGTTTGACATTAAAATGTTCAACAGTCAAAAATGCCAACGTCTTAGATAATAAGTAGGCCGCCTAATAATATTTCCAGAAATTAATTTAGTTTCCACTCCGCCACTAGACGAAATATTATAACCGTACGAACGGATAAAACACAACGCGCGAGAAACAGTCGGCGAAATAATATACTATCGTTTTTTTTTTGTTCTTTTTATCGATCGAAAATCATTGTTGTCGATAATATTTTTCATCGACATAAACGTATGTATAATATTTTTTGATACGAACGGACGTGCAAAATGTTTTGAATTATTCTGCAGGTACGGTATTTTGAATTATTTATTATTCGCCGCGTTTGCAACCTCGATCGGCACCTTTACCAATATAGGTAGGCCACCGTTGTTATTATTACCCGAGCGATTATTCGACACGCGTTTTCGAAATGACGGACGAAATTCAGCCAACAGAATCGATAGTGTCGGACGAATACCCGAATCTTAAGTGCCCTGCCTTACCTATAGTAAAGGTCGAAAACAGTCAAAAAACTCGTGCGGGGTTTTTTTTATATATTCGTAAATTATATGATTAATACAAGCATACAAGGTGCGTTTACAAACAAATATTTCGAGGGGGGGGGGATTTAAGGTTATACACTTTCGTACTCTTATAACAAAGAAATTAACATACTTTCAATGGTAAGATTATTTATTTTTCGATAAAAATGTCAATGTTTTATAACATTCATTTTTAGCAGTGTAGGTAACTATTACTATATTTTACATTTACTATTTGTTTTAGTGGATAACGTAATGATAACCTTATTTATATCGTTGTGATGATAATGCAGACTATCCAATATCACCGTTTTATAACAGTTATAATTTTCTAAAAGCAGGAAAACTACAAAAAATTAGAAATGACAATATTATTTAGGTACCCATTACTATCCAGTAATAAAAAAAAAAAATAATAAAACCAAAATTGTACTATTTATCTTCATCATTGATTGAAACCGCTGTTGAGACTCTATTAAAAATCAACTTTCATTATAATTTTCATGAAATTTCGAGGGAGGTTGTACCCTAAGCTAACCTAACCTTAGTGAATCGGTATTTTGTCGGTGGCGCCATAATTTGAAAACAGATGGACCGATTTGTCTGATATTTTTTTTGCTGTGTGCGTTATTGTCAGGACAAGGTCTTATGAAAGAAAATGTTAGGAATATCCGCCGGAAAAGTCATCAATTTGGATGGTAATGCTTTTTTTTTTTTTTTTTATCTCATTCGTATCTAAATTAAATCTACCAAAATAATTGACATTCAGTTCTGCTGTCACGTGTTTCCGCATGGTGTCCATAACGACAACAAATTGATAATAAATAAAAATAAGTTATAGCGTCGCCAACAAAATGTCGATTCATTTGTACACATATAGATTATTCTGAGATTATTTAATCGAGTTATTACCTTTGTATAAACATAAATTGTCGTCATTAATATATTATTCTCAAACTATACTCTGTATTACGAAAACAATGTGTCATAATTGTATCATATTATTTTGTATTTAAATCAATAAATAGCAACAACAATTTTATTTCAAAAAACTATAAAAACCCAAGGCATCCAGTCTTAACATAGACTAAGGCTCCGACTAACCATATCAATCTATAGATGCCAGTAAAATGCGTTTGTCTTTTTATTTAATTCAACTCTACCGCGTCTTTTTCTTTTAATTGCTTTATTTTGAACTTACCAAATAATCCGGTCACCACGTCAAGATTATGTGTTACGTAAATTGTCATATTCTTAATCACGTGGGGATCTTACTAAGAGCACATACTTATACGTCGGACAAGTAAGAAATATAACTCTAACTCTAATTAAACTCACCCCCTGCTCTCCCTTATAGTAGTAAGGAATGGACCGATTATATATCTTACTATAAGGTAGTCAACATAAAGTCTGGATCCTTGCCGTCCTGTTTTTTGTCTCATTACATTTGTACTCAAAAAACAATTTAGTGTAATGAAGTACATGTTTTCATTACAACAGTAATGAAAAAATCTTTATAGTCTTAGTACAATCTTACAATCTTTGGCTACAGATATAAATTGAATAACTGTATGTAGCCCACATTCCCAACTACCCACCTACAACAGTGACCGAATCCATCTCCATTATCAATTGTCAGTTAATTCATAACAAAATAAAAATCTAAATATTATTTACGAGTACTGCAAATATAACCGTATCGAGTCATTTAGCGCACAATTTCATCAGTTTTTAAACGCCCCCCCCTTTTAAGACCCACTTCAGACGATTTGGAGGATTAATCATCCTCCCAAATTTGTTGTTTTCTTTTTTACAATTATATTGAATTACCTAATAAGACAATTTTAACATTCACCTCCACCAATTAATATAAACCTAAATTTTTGTCTATGAACACATAATATTACGTTACTAGGTTGAACTTATGTTCATCTAATTACCGATTAATACGAGCGAGAACGCCGCCACAATACTGTCATATGAAACGAATCGATTTCGGATGTGGATTCGGTTGCATTCAAATTCGTATTACCTACGGAATTTTAAATATTACATATATATAGAAATGAACATTTTTGATCCTGTACCTACACAACAAATGCAAATTTCCAGAATTCGTAAATTCCTCCGGACGATTCATTCCGTTTTCTTCGTTCGTATTGATAATACTCGAAACGAGTCGTTTTCTTATAGGATAATCGGACCCGAGTATTATTTCACCGTGAGCTGGAAAAATAACCATTTTCCGTACCGAACGAGATACCACCCGAGTTGTTTAATAAAAAAAAAAATTATTTTCAATTAACGGCCGCGTCGTTTAAATTTCAAGGAAAAAAAACTATCATTGTGCATTAAAATATCAACATAAACGAAATATTTATATTTACCTACATTATATTGATCGATTATAGTATACGTCGATCATACATTTATAGATCGAAACGATTTTTAATGAAAATTAAACGAATTTAAAATGTCATTAAAACTGTAACTTTTATACGACTTTGATTGATCATTAAAATGCCGAACAAACTTTAAAATAACTCTATATTAAACAAATCGGTTCAAACAATATTTTATTTGTCGGCCATTTTGTAAATTTTTGCGGGTTTATACTGTTATTAATTAAAAAACATTTTTTTTTTTTTTAATAGTTCATAAAATAATAATAAATATACATGTTTGAATGTTAGCAGTATCGGTTTTTTTTTTTTTTTTTTTCTAATTGTATACGCGCATTAATTTCGAATCCTATGAAATAATACGATCAATTCGAAATGTTCACATAACCCTATATAATAATCTTTGAATGTCTGCCACAGAAGACATTTTGATTTCGTCGGAATTCCGACTGCAGTAATAATATTGTATACATCACAAGCCATTTATATTATATTTTACAGTTGTTACAGTTGTTACACCGTCAGGTGTATTATTGTTTTAGTCCTCTTAATATAAAACGTCATTGAGTCACACGACTTTGTTCTGTGTATTAGCCCTTCAAATACCATCAAAACGCACGGTTTGTGTGTCTTTTTGAACGACGCCGATTTTCGGGCACAAAATATCACAGGTACGTCAGTCGTTGTTGTCGTCGACAGTCCAATAATAATAATAAAAATAATATAACGGGAAAGTACATTGAGCCAAAAATAGTACGTGCTCGTGTGAAGTCTACATACGAATTGTATACACGCAATATGGATAAACGGTGTTGGTATCACAAAGAGAACGTTCTGTGATAACAATGACGAACACATGAAATGCGATCGTGTGCACGGCAGTTGTCTATATTATTACATGGCAGTCGATAGTCTATAAAAATGACATATTTCGTACAAATAATTATTATTAAACCGAACGAGAGACAGTGTCCCGGCGACGAGTTGTCTTATAAATCAATAATCGTCCGAAATGTAATTCGTTTTGCACAATAACACGACGGATTTTCTTTTTGCGGTAGAATTGGCGGAAATTGACTGACAAAAAAAAAAAAAAAACTAAAATCTCGCTCGATATGGTTGTCGGTTTATTTTCCGAAATAAAAACGGTCTATTGCTCTTTTTCCGCATTTAGAGCGTTTTATTACTATTATAGGTGCAATTTTTTTATTTTTTTATTTCTGTCTGCGAGATTTCATTATTTTAGATTTCGTTTTTTTCGTGGTAACGTAATTCAATTGAAAATAATCGTAAAAAAGGTGACATTTCCATCGAATACTTTTATTAGATTTTTCTAGATGTGGTAATATTTTCAAAACATTCTGGCCATTTGTGAGCTATTTATAGGCATTTGACATTTTCGTGAGGTTTTTATTTAGCTTATATGGACAACATATTGCCGCATAAGCACAACTAGGAGGGTGCTAGGGAGCTTTAGCACTCCGTTTAAAATAAGCACTCCCAAAAAACCCAATCAAGTTTTTCATAGTAATGACATAAAGGGAATGAATGTGGGAAGTTACTTTAGGGAGGTCATTTTTCGATTTTCTCAGAAATTTTCTCATCAAATTTGAAAAACAGAAAAAAAAACGGAAAAAAATGTACGAAATATATTACTAAAATATTACGATTTTTTTTCCTGTGCACAACTTTTCCTTCAGCAATTTCGCTCTTAATTTGCTCTTAACTTTTAATGATAGCAATGTTTCTAAAAGGAAATTTCATTAGGGAGATACTTTAGAGAGATAATTTTTTGATTTTCTCAGAAGTTTTCCCAGCAAATATTAAAAATCGGGATAAAACATGGGAGAACCAAGAAATACGTAGGAAAACTGGGAAAATCGATACAACATTAAAATAATATTATTAAAAAAAATATATAAAGCCTATTTAATTATTTTACTATAATACATATTGATCACAAAGCACCGCTATCAATTGAACTCCGCTCAGAATCATTTTTTAATGAGCAATTTTAGTAAGCAATGGTTTATCGTTGTTTACAGGTATACATTAAATTATTTATAACATTGGCGTCTTCATTATCCTAGGACGTCTTTTTTTTTTTTTTTTTAAACGACGTTCCGTATTTTTATTAAATATTAATGTTACCGAGATTTTTGTGTGAAATATTTGACAATTTGAATTAGCGCAACAAAATGATACGGTGTACAATTTATGCAATTCATAATATTTTTCTCGGGCAATTAAAAAGCTTAAATTCGGTTTTGCATTTTTCGTTGTTTCTCCGTTATTTTGGCGTAATTATCTCTATAATACGAGCCATTATTTAATGTACAAACGCAACTTGTAATTTGTGTATTGATCAAACGGATATTTTTAATTGTATTTCTGTAACATTTTACGTCAAAATTTTGGAAACCGACCGTTACATTTGTAATTGTTCGCACAAGTATTTCTCTGCGGAATTTCGCAGTCTACTACTCGTGAGATCGACAATGCAATCGCGCGCAGACAAAACAAGACGGTATCTGGTATACCGCGTTCCGCTCGTCTAGATTCCGAATTCATATCGACGCCGACGACATCGATAGATAGGTTTCGAGGTGATTTCGAGAATCGTGTCAATTGACTTTTCGAATGACCTCGACGCCGGCCAGTATAAATATGAGTAGCCGGCGCACGTAATACCGTCATTATTCATTGTTACCGTCATTAATACGACATTTCACTTTGTATACAAATGCAATATTATTGTTCACGTTTATGTCTTCTACGATATAATTGAACAGACGGTCCAGTTTTGAGTGGTATTTTTTTCGGAAATGGGTAAGGGCAAATAAGTGCGGCATTATGTTTTAAATGTATACGAAATATCAAAACCTGAAAACGGTCGCTGTCAGCGCGCTTTGTTTTAAACAATATAAATCGTCAATCGTTGAACCCTCGTGAAAAAAATATTTGAAAAAAAAAACTATAATGTCCGTTTACGGGTGTCCAACTGATTTAGAAAGGGAAGTTGGTGAGGGAAATATTATAGAGTAAATTAATTCATATAATCTTTTTGAAACTATAAAAAGTGGTATCAAAAAACGATTCTGAGCAGAATATTTTTAGTCGTTTATCAGCAATTTTACAAGAAAGTTCCCATAAAGTTTTTGATCGGAACAAGATTTCTGAGTTGTAGGTTGAAAATTGAAACCATCAAAAACACACCGTTAATACATACACTTACAAAATTACATCCCTATGCTTCATTGATAAGTTTGTAGAAGAGGTGTTCAAAGCTAAAATCACCATTTTCCCATAACAACATCATGGCAGATAATCCGTATAAATGAAAAAATCATGTATAGGTAGTAAAATTTGACGAATCCGGTAATATATTGTATACATATACAATCTAGCATTTGGAAAAATCCGGATTTACCAAAGTTTAATAATCCAGAAATCCGAATACCATTTTACAATTTGAATTTTGCTCTAAATTTAGATTTCTGATTTCGTAACTTTAAATTAGGATTGTTTTATGCATCGTGTGATACGATTAAAATAACTACTAATAACAAAATATTGATTAAATATATCTATACCATTCAAATATTAGCCATGAATATCAAAACGGCAAGTGTAGATGATTTTCGTTTCTCATAATTTATAGTATATACTCTAATAATATCTACATTGTGAAATGCATATTTATGATTTTTAAATCCAAAAAACCGATATCCGGATTTTAAAGCCTGCAATCCAAAATCCGGATTTATCTCACGTCACTACTCACTGTAATACGGAAAAGATAACGAATCAAAGGTGATTAGCACAAACTATATTGAATCTTTTATTACAAGTTTGACTTGTATGTTAAATTGGTAAGTAATTGTGTAGATACGTGTTCATGATCTTAAGGACTAATTTAAGTATAAATTTAGTGCTAGTTTTTTTATTTTGCTTTTTATTCGAAGTTAACCAAATTTCCTATGATTTCTGAAAAGAAACCGAAATTTAACAGACGAATAATCAAATGTAACCGAGTTACTGTATTTTAAATTAGTCGTATTAGCAATTTTGGTTAAATTATTTTGTTTATAACTTTTGGTTTTAGGTTACTAAAATATCATAACTAAATATCGGATTTGTAGGCACTTACAATTGTTGAATATGCACGCAAACAAGCACTAAAAATGTTAAAATATGCGAGACAGAGTTACGGAGTACGCAGAATAAAATTAAAACTTGTACTGCGGCTTTCAATTGTATTTCGTAATTTTGAAGTATAAATTATTAATTATTATAATTTGTTTGAACAAAAAGTAAAATATACAATTACTTAATACTTAATTTTTGTTAGTATTAGCATTTTAAATTATACTTATGTAGTTAACTACAAACTGTTAACCAAAAAGTATAACAAACTAAGAATACATTTAATTTTTAATTTTTAATACATTCAAAAGCTAAGTAAATAGTATATTAGTAATCAAATAATGGTACAGTACACAGTTTTAAATATAATCATGAATATAAAATATGCTATAACTCTGTAATAATATCAAGGGATTTATTGGATAAGAAATCAATATGAAAAATTATAAAATTTTTAATTTTTTGAAAAATTGTCATCACTAGGGTTGACCAATATTCCATTGAGAAATTTTCATTTTATCTCTCCCAATTTCTAATCGCATTTTTTCAATTATGTTTTAAATAGTTGCATTAGATTGACCAATCAGTTTAGAAAATCGAATGAAATTTGTTTTTTTAAAACTTTTATGAAACAAGAAACTCAACAATTTTACAATATCGGTATTTTTGATAACCTTTGTTTTTAGAAAACTACGAAAAATAAATTTCGAAAAAAATTAATACTTTCCGAGATATTGACTAGTCCGTGTAAAATGATCAGCGTATAGCGATGTTTTATTTATAACATAAGCATTTAATTTATTTGATAGTTTATTTAATTTGAGCATCTCATAATGAAAATGGGTAATCATTTCGTTTGTAAACAACAATAGGTACGATAGGTTTTATCTTTTAAATATTTTTGATAATAATTTTAATTATGTATCAGGAATTTTCCATCGGCCATATTTTCGTTCAGCCACTTTTACCAGCCCATTTTTCCATGGCCATTTTTGCTTTAGCCATTATTTCCTAAACTTAAAATTTGACCGAACATTCACTATGTATTAAACAGGCATCTGAAATTTTGGGAAATGATTACTGTCACCATTATAGCCATTGCTTTTGAATTTGAAGTCGTCATTACTTATATATTTCTGACGGTATACGGACCTTCCGTAATTAATTTACCTTCCCAACTTACTACTCATAATAGTACTAATCTTTTATTAGTATCAGCTCTTTATTATGAATCAAATTATTGAAAAAAAATTCCACTTCAACCTCCATAGTCGTAGTTACCTACGTGAATACACACGAAATCGTTGACCCACTTTTTTGTTTTATTATTTTTTTATATTATGTATTTGTATTTAAACAAAAACAATATTATTCAGTTCATTGTCGCCAGCAATTATATTTGGAGCAAACACGCATTACAAAAGAGCTCACCAACCATCTCTCACCCGAACCACATTTCAAACAAGATTCTTAATCTGTTACAACAAATAACAAATCAGGTTTAATATTAACTTTTTTATTGGGAAGAGCAAACTTGAAATTAATTTATAGGTATTTATCTAACGTTTTTAACATTATTTTTTAAAGATTATTCATAATGTTATATTATACGCAGTGATGCAGTTATGGGGAAGGGGATGATAAGATTATATCCTTTCCAAATCTTTTTTTGTATTGTTATGCATCGTAGAATGTATATTTGCAATCAAAAATAGGTTCTGAGAGGAGTAGTATTTAGTCATGTTTTTACATAATTTAATAGAAACCGTGGGAAATCTAGAAATTGTTTCAAATAAGCAAGTATTTATAAAATAAATACATAAATAAAGTAAATTTAAGACTAAAAAAATATATATTATTACTGACTAAATAAGTATTAAAAAGTATTAATTTATCAATAGTTAAAGAAGTCTGAAAGCATACGTTTTTTGGAAAGAAGAGGTGGTATATAGCACAATATCACTATTTAAATATATTATAAACGTACTACTCTAATAAAACGTTATATTTGTATGTACACTGAATAGCTATGGATAATATGGTTGCAACACATTTCTATTTATTTTTATATCTTTAACTGCAGAAGTAGAACACGTTTAGGTGCATAAACACATTTACATATAACACGTTTCAATAGTTCGATGCGTAAATATAATATTACAACAGTATAATGGATCTTATTTCAATCTCTATATTATCATATACAAGCATCTTTGTCCGACTTTTCTTGACTAAATTTTCACAGCAAATACCTTTTATTACCATAGGCATCTATTAACGAAGAATTTTTGAAAATTCCACGCCCAAAAAATAGCTAACCCAGGGTTTTTTATATTTTTGGAAGAAAAATTAAATTGTATACCTTAACGTTGGCGATCTTGACGACATGGGTGGTCATTAATTGGTTATCACTGACAAGATTTATTATTATTATTATTACTATTATTACATTATTTTACAAGCTTTGATAGTCAAAAAATACTTAAGTTAAATCTACCCTATGAAACGGTTTTTAATACTTCGGTGCATAAATAAAGGGTGGTATACGATTGCGAACGGACCTTTCCCTATAACACGATTTCCATCGTTCTTACCTGCTTTTTTTCGTGCTGCGTTGCCAGATTTGGTGTTTTTTAATTACATTTATATAATAAATGGATTTAATATTATTTTTCCAAATTTTGTTTTATTTTCAAATAATCAAATCATATATGATTACCATCATAAGATAACAGTGGTTTTCTGCAATTACGCCGGACGATAAGATACGGTGAAGAATAGATTTTAACATAATTGTACACATACAATTTTTCCTAAATGTATATTAATTTGATGGAAAACCAGCTTATTCGTATCGATCGTGCTTTATTTTTCATGTTTCGTTCATGTCCTATAATATGTACACAAAGAAAAAAATTTGAGCTGATCAACAATTTAAACATTATTATTTTGTATTTGTAACACCTAGTTTTAACGTTAAAATGTTTATGATTAAATCCCCGAATAAAATAAAACATATTCAGAAAAGTTTACACTATCCAACCTTGGCAAAGAAACCTAAATGAACGTTCGTAATCGTTCGTTTTTCGGTGAAAATAAATTCTTTCATAAACGACATTCGTCCGCAATCGTATTTCACTCTGAATAAACATACTTCGAACGTCGGGTGGGCCACTGTTGTAGGCACGAAGTTAAAAGATATAGAGGGTAATTTAATTTGTACCTGTACGCAACGATAAACCATTGCTAAAGAAAAATGATTCGGAGCGAAATTCGGTTATACATGTTTTAAAAGGCTGTAATATTTACGACTTTAGTCAAAATGTAATATTAAAATCCTTATTAAAAAAAATACTACATTAAATTCAATTTTTCGTTTTTGAACACAAAGTACAACTTATAATGAATCTCCTATTAAATTTTTAAGCACTTCTGTTTATTCTAACAATTGTATCCACAGAGTGGATGTTTCTTTCAGTAAATAAACTAAATTACCTATCTGGTATCTAATACTGTAGGCTTAAATATTTACTATTCACTTCATCTGAAGAATTAAAACGTGTTGATTGATGAGATAAGTTTTAAATTTGGAGCGTGGCGTAATGATTTTACAATTATGTTTTGTTTTTTTTATATACTGTGAGCTTCTTTTTTACCAGAAATCTTGCTTTGATATATTAAGTGTAGCACATTTTCTGAAAGGATAAAAGGAAATTTTATGCAGATGGTACTTAAAGCAGATAATTTTTTTGATTTTCCAAACGGTTTTCATTAATAATTGGAATAAAAAAAATTGAAAAACGGGAAAATGTACATACATGTATAAAAGAAACTGCCCACCCGTCATGTGAAATATGTCCGTCTTTTTGAAATTGACAATATTATGCATTTGTAAATCGAATGTTGAAAAATTACACAAAGTATACGAATATAATATTTTATTTATTATAGTTAAATTAATAAAAACCATGACCGTTTCATACATCATAACAACAGGATGACGTAAATCTAAATCTTTCCAATTATACGAGAGTATCGCAATACGATTATTTTAAAAATAGTTATTGAATCATACATTTGTTTCATAATATAATATTATGGTGAATTATCAAACAATATAAAATATTATATTATTTGTGTAATAATTAAATACCGGATTTTGCATAAACTGCACATTAGTATGTTCTACATCATACACATGAGTCAATGAGAGTCCATAAATCATTACTGATTGATTAAATAAGAAAATATTATATCGCATATTTTCGCATATTCCGACGTTAGTGCATATTCTGTATGGTTTTACATATTTGGTCACTATAAATAAAATTAAGTAAAAAAAGTACAAAAATACGCCCCATAAAGATGAACATGGAACACATTTTGGTAACTTACTGTTTTACCAATATTAACATACTATATTTTTCGTCGTTTTTTATTATTATAATGTACTAAATTAAATAACGAAAATAATATTTATTTGATTTTTGCTATGTATTAAAAAATAAAAATAAAATATATTCTTAATGCATTGTAGTTTTTAGTTTACAGATTTTAATTAATTACCTAATAATAATTTAAAATGCTCATACACCTTCTTAAAAAAGTCGAATATTAAATTTTTATACTGCATAATTATGTATTCTACATATATTTTACTTTTTTTTGTACAAATTATAATAATTAATAATTCATACTTCAAAATTCCGAATTATAGTAAAAAAACCGTAATTAAAATTTTAATTTTATTACCAATGCATATTTCGTAACTTTTTTCTTACATACTTTGACTTTTTTTAGTACTTATTTGCATGCATATTTAAAAATTATAAGTACATATAAATACGGACTTAAATTATTTGAATATTACCTTTTTTAATTATATAACATAAACAGTAATCACATATGCAATTTGTTTTGCTAGTCAAATTTTGTTAGCATTTCACTAACATTTTTTTATTTTTTAAATTTTTTTTAATTCGATTTATAGAGGGCTTCAGAACATTTGGATAGTGGTCCCTCAAGTACAAACAAGGTATTTAAATGGATACGTGAATATGAATTGTATCCCCTCTCCTAAAATGAGCACTCAAATGCTTTACTGTTACTATGTCCTATGGTATTCTCTGGCTTTTTAAAAGCTATTGACTGTCGCCGTATACGTAATACAAGAATATAACACATTTGGTATAATATTATTTTATATTTAAGTACAAGGTATTTACGACTTTATAAGGTTTGTTTGGCTATAATATTATTTCTAACCTTCCTGTCAAACTGCCACGACAATAAAAACTGAGCATAACATCGGTTGGCCTAAAACGTGCAACGGTGTTCCCATAATTACCAACACTATGCTGTTAAATCTCAAGTATACTGCGTATATTCTCATATAGTTATTCAAACAATTGTGACAAAATCTTCATGATATAATATTACCATTCATATTATCAATTATTTCACTAAAACTACTAAACTAAATTATTTTTATTTTAAATTTACTTAGGACTTACAATAAAACAATAATGCATAATTAATTATATTATTTATACCTACTTGTTTTTGTAATATCATTAATAAAAAAAAGACGGACATATTTCAAAAGTGAGTGCAGCTATTGTTGTAGGTAGGAAGTTTGGAAAATAGAATACAGAAGAGAATTGAATGTATATCTGTAAGCAGCGATAAACCATTGCTAACGAAAAAACGATTCTGAGCAGAATTCGGTTGATAATGATGCTTAAGTATGGAATAAAGAAATATAATATAGAAATAATAAAGTAAAATAAAATTATTAAAATGGTTAATACTCGTAAATAAATATATTGAATCGCGTTTTATATTTTGACTGTGATATACCTGATGATGAATTTTTGATTCAAAACTGGTCGTACAATACACTTATCATACTACTCCAGGTGACGTATTCATTCTTTTATTTATTATTTTTCATTTGTATACGAATTAATTTTTTATTTATAGATTTATCTACTATATTTAAAAACGAGTAGTTAAAAGAATGTATTAAAATCTATATTTATTTCATTTTAATATAGCTCGGTCTATAGTATTGCTTTTTCAACCATATGCGTTTCCATGACAACAATGATTGACAACCATTCTTTTTAATCTTTACATTTTTTTCAACCTAAAGAACCAGGTTTTCTTCGTTATCTCGAATATGAAAATTTCAAGAAATGAAATCTCTAAAGTACCACTCAGAGAATATTTCCTTTCAGAAAAGACGCTATACTTGATAATCGGAGTAAGCTATCTAGTAGAAAAAGTATTTACATAAAAAAAAATAAGAAAAAAAATATCTCTATGAAACAAATAAATTTTTCGCTACGCTCAGAATCTAAAAAAATTGTCATTACAAATATCGTATAATTTAAAAAAGTTGTTTAAAAAAAAGGTGATAATTTTTTTTTTCACTTTAGAAGGCGCGCGTATAATAAAAATTATTGAGAACCAACGACCAATAGGTATCTATAGTGTACAACTGAGAATTTAAAACTCGTTCCCCTGTTGTTTGACCGCGAAATCGAATCGGCTGCGCGATTGTTTTACACGATTACACTGTATACACGATACGCCGTTTTCTGAGGATAACTCCTTTCTTCCACAACGAATTTTCGATAATATATATTATATTACGTATGATGTAACTGTATATATATATATATATATATATACATATATATATATGTGTATGTAATTATTTATTTATAATACTGAAGCAATGTAGGTAATGCATATTAATAATGATTACATTATACAGCACGTCCTATCAAAAAACGTTACTTCACACCGTTTACAACAAATTACACCACGTGTAAGTACATGATTCTTGTCGGAAATTTGTGTTAAACAAAAAAAAAACTTTGGCACACGATCAGTGGCGTATCCAAAAATTTTTTTTTTCGGGGGAAGGGGGATTGAAAAAAATATAACAAATGAAATTGTTTTGAATTTTGTGTGTACTATAATCATACATTAAACAATTTATAACTATTTTACAGCGCTAATTGTATAAAAGTTAAATATTTATCTCTTTTAAAAACTGTAAACGTATACTCATTTTTCGTTTTGACCTATTATTACAATACACACACTACGCTAGACTAGACTTGTATATTATTAATTGGTATTATTTGTGTATACTGTCAAGTGCAATAACACTTTTTTCTTTATTAAAACTATATATTAGTATTTTTTTTTATTTCGAAGACATTTCGGGAGGGTTACCCAAGTCCCCCTGGATACGCCACTGTATACGATATTCCTACACGCGGTCTTCTCTTTCCCAAAAAGGGACCCGAACTGATCGTTTTCAAAACTAAATATACACACCCGACATTTCAAACAAATTATTTAATGATAATTTATTTTTAAATCGTGTACAATTTATGTTTATATTCAGTATTAAAGTAAGTTGCACGTGTTAAATTAATACAAAATCAATGAACAATTAAATCATTTAATAAATTACGAGTACAGAAATTAAATCTAATGTAAAAATCCCATTCTTACAAATGATATACTTTATTTATTTATTTATTAAATGTACTAATACATTATCTTTACAATAATTACGTGACCGACCATCTTAATATAGAACTATTTTACAAATTATAATTATGTGTAAAAATTATTACACCTATTATTCGTAAATAATATATAATTACTAAATAATTAAGTAAGTATACTAGGATTTTGAAGAAACTTATTATTTCACTTTTGATATACGCATTAAATTAAAGACGTACATTATTATGCATCCCTAATTAATTTTACTCGTTCTCATCATTGTGATAAAGTCTGCAGTAGGTAACTTTAATGCACTCAACAAGAGTGTTGTGTATAGTAAATAGGTACATAATATAATATTGTGTGTACATAACTATGTCTCACAGACATTCTTATAAATACTATTTATCAAACCCTCGCCGTGTTTAGTTGTAAGCGTATTAATATTAATAATATATGAGCAACTGTTTTCTATTTGAAAAATTCACCGTTTGCATTCGGAGAATGCTGCAAGAGACAGGTGGCGCATATCCGAAGTTTTTTCGGTGGAAGGGAAGCTGACAGCTTTTTTTCAAGATCCTTGAACCGACCTTACTTTTATTTAAAACCACTATTTTTTTGAGATTTCGGGGGGCCTAGGGCCCCCCAGCCCTTTATAAATATGTTCCTTGTAATAAGAGTAGGTTATAATTTGATAGATTTACTTCAAAATTAGTAGTTCTTGTGCGCAGACAAAATACAGTAATAATTTATTTTAACTGTTTCTCTATCCGTCTCTTATTATCAATATTCAATACTCAGATCGGTGTGCCGTTTTGCTCCATCCGTTTCTGACTTCCACTGTCCCTTAATTATTAATCGCGTCTATAATTTCATTTATGATCAGTTTTAAAAATTTTGGTCAAGATCTTCCTACATGGTTCTTCCTTTCGATGTTTCTTTCAATTGTCAATTTTAAGTTTTAACAGATCTAATTGACATCTCATTACATGGCCAATCCTTTAATTTCGTCTCCTTATCAAACTTTTTTACAGTGCTCTTCTAATACATTTATTCGATATATACGATACATACGATTCTTCTGTAACACCATACTACAATCGCATCTAATCTATTTTGTTCTTATATTAATATCATTCAATATCACTTCCAAATATCATATTTTGTTTAAAACATATCTTTAATACATTACTCCTTAAATGCAGGAGCGTGCTCACGCAAAGGTGGATGAAAGTGTCATGTCCAGCCTTCCTTGACCAATTTTTATAATTAATTTATATTTCATGAATTTTCTGTATAATTATCATGTTATATTAGTATTTATTGTTATTTAGTGATAACATTTTTATAAAGATTTCCATATAAATCTTGATAAAAAAACTAAAACGCCTAGAATATAATAGACTTAGTTTTGTAACTTTATGATATAATGCAATGTATTTTATGTTTTTAAATAATTTTTAATCGTTAAAATACATATTTCAATTGTAGATTGAGATTTCAGTTTATTTTGTAACAATAATTCGAATACTGAAATTTATATTGCTCCTATCATGCAAAAAAGTTATGCGCGTTACTACTTAAATTAATACTAATATCACATAAATATTAAATACGATGTCATTTTACTGTTAAAATCTATTTTAGCATACATTATTTTACATAATGCGTTTAGTTATATCCTTATCACTTCATTGCTGATTATATAATATATTGTCTAAGTGAACTCATTCACTTGTTCCATTTCTTGATATTATCAATATATTTTTACCCTTGCATTATTTATTCTTCCACATATAAGAATTTAATTTTTCTATAAAAGTTGAACAGAAAAAATTAAGAAACATAATTTACTTAAAATTAATAAAACATTATATTACCACTAATGATAGTGTTTTATGCTCAGGTATGAGTTTTTAGAAAACATAACTAAAGTATATATTCTAATATTTAAATTGCATATAGTTTGAATAATTTTCACTCCTGGGAACACTTTATAGTATATTTTAAGAGACGTTATTTCTATAAATTATAGTTTGTAACATTTGAGTTGTTAAATTCTATGGGTTTGGACACAGAATAAAAATTAAATTTTAGTGTCACTTGTATAGGTATAAGTGGTATCACGTATAACTAAAACAACCGTTTACAGTGGTAACTATACAATTTCATTAGTATTATTATTGTTATTAGAATTTACGCAAGTGTCCGATATTATATTATTTTGGTTACCGTGTCGAGTAAAAACACAGTCATCTACTGCACCGAACATAATTCACACTTTCTTTTCAATTCCCTGTGCGGCAAAATACAAACGGTTTTTTTTCATAAGCATAATACATAATACATCTAATAAATAATACGCAAAACGAAGTTTTCCTGTGAAAACGCAGTGATGTGTAATAACTATACACCAGTGACGTGGCGAAGGAGGTAATCGAAAAGCGGCTGACTTTTTTTAAGGAGTGGTGGGTGGGTGAGTAACAACTAATGGATAACAATATTATATTTTGTAACTATGAATGCAGGAAAATAATGCACAAAAAAATATTTTGATATTGATAAATCGGTAGTCAGTATTCACTCTGACGATAGTAATGTTCCACCACGCTTCTATAAATATGTCAATTTGTAAGAAAGTTATAAAACCCAATGTGAAATCTTCATATATAGTAGTAGTCAATGGATGGGTCATGAGATCGTCGATAGGTAGGTGGGTATTGGAAGAAAATACTTGCCTTTTAAAATATTTGAATTCGCCATGCCACTAACTATATTTGTAATGTTTTGGTTTTCATTTTTGTTTATCGTTAATATTATATTATATACCTAAATATTGTTAAATTTATGAGCCTTGTTATTAAACGGTGCAAGTGGTAGGATCAGGTCTAGACAATCCTTCGTCCCATCCCCATTTTGGTACATGCGATAATAGTAATGGTTATATAATCAAACATATACCGTCAGCAGTGATACATTTGATTTACATTCAAACGCTAATGTAAACTCAACTTTTTTACTAGCCGATAACAACGACTTTATGATAAAACGTCATATCGAATTGTTCAATTTTTTTTTAGGTACGTGGTATAAACATATAGAAGACCAAAAATCAAGAAGAAAAACCAAAACAAATCGAAAATTGTATGTATTTAAATACACGAAAAAGACGAAAGACCATCATATTATTATTTGTGGAATGTTTAGAAAATATTAACACACGGCATATTCGATAATAAAAAACCGTCATGGTGTTAAGTGAATATTCTTTTTAATGACGTTTATTCGGTTTTTATCTTGTTATTAGACCAAGGTATAAAACAAGACACTAATTACACTCTCCGATTTACGCACCAGCTATAAAATCAAGCATCTAGTTGCTAGACGCTAAATGTCATATTGTGGTGCAAGAAAACTTCGATAGGAGCTAGTCGAAAAATGTGTTCATAGACAGAAGAGAATAGAAAAAAATCACTGACACTCGAATCACTTTGGAATACAGAGTTCTGTATTACTATTATTATAATGTGCACTCGTATTATGCGATTAAGCGTTTATTTCTTTACGGTAATATACATTATTATAAACGGCTTTCGAAAATACGGCCACGAGTTTAGTTCGATACGCGTCGTAATAGTCTGGTATTTTGGCAAAAAAAATTTGTTTTTTCTCCCTCACATTTGTCACGTCATGGCTCGGTTGGACACGCTCCCTCAAATATATATTAATAAATACTCAACGCAACTAACGAAATTATATTCTCGTGACAACAATATAGGTTTATTGGTCCTATTGGATAATTGATAATAAACGTATTATTATGTTTTACAATCACCGACTAGAGATATTATATTACACAAGGAAGGATATAGTAAATTTGGAAATTGTGTCATATTGTACAACGTATGTACAGACTTAACAATTAGCATCAATTTTTAATGTACATAATAGTAGTTTTGTAAGACATGGATAATTTGCTTGCCCTAAAATTATCATTAGAATCAAATAACTATATAGTATGTAGTATCAATTTATTTACTATTTAGATATATATTAATCCAACCCCTTCATATTATATTGTGATTAGAATATTGATTCTGTTTTAAACAAAAAAACGTGTACATTCAGATTTTGTTTGATATATAAACTATTGTTAATTTTTACGGCTAAAAAAAATAAGAATTTAAATTTGAAAATAAGTAATCATTAACTTAATTTGAGTAGGTAACTGAGTTAAGTTTGACATTTTCAGGAAAATAATAATAAATATTAAGTTGAAAGTTACTTTTTTTTTTGATTACCCTTAACTATACACTCATAACTTCATAAACACAAAATAGGCGATATTCTCATCAAGAAATAATTTGTATAAAAAAAGGCTTAAATTCATTTTTAGAAATAAATTAAATATTAAAAAATAACTATAATTAAAGTTGAGATTATTTATTAAAAGAAATCACTATAAGTTATTTTCTAGCATTTAATATTTTTTTTAAACTATAAATTAGTTAAAAGTTACCTTAACTATTAACTTTTAAACTAGTTTAGCCCAGCTTTGAATACTTTACATAATAATATTATAAAATCACAATAACGAGTGCAACGTTAAATTTTAGGGAAGACATGAATCCATGCATGTAAAGTATTAATTTTTTTCCATATTAATTGAAGGAAGTTTCATATATGACGTGAATTTTTTGTACCTCTCCGTTAACAAGTTTTCGATCTGAATACTTGCTACAACAAAAAAAACTTTTTACTTTTGGTTACCTATAAATTATATTCTATACAAATTATTTTAAAGTCATAAAAACTACTAGCTATTATAGCGAATACCTTCTACATAAAAAAAAAAATAGAGTAAAGACCTTTTTTCCACTGAAATTTCACTAACGTCGTGATGTCGAAAAATAAATAATTCAAAAAATTAGAATACAATAGGCAGTTTCATGTCTAGAAACAGTCAAAGCTGATATACCGAATCACATAACTTACATAAAAAATAACTATAATTTATTTTAATAATACAATAACATTAAATTATGTTAACTTAATGTATGCGATACACTATGCCTTTTGGAATGTCGGATCTTTGCAATGATTTAACAAAGAAAATCTAAACATATTTCATGCGTATGCAGGCTTTATAGACGTAGGATACGGGGGTCTAAGCTAAACTGCACTTTTTTCGTACATTTTTGCAAAAAACTTTTGACTACATACTCATTTTCAGAAAAATTGTAAGAAATATTAAGGGAGCTAAAAGAAATGTTGGGGGCTATAGCCTTCTTACCGCCAGATTCTACGCCTATGGTTGGCTTCTGCTATACGCGGAAAATTGCAGGGAAAGTATAACAATATATGGTGTACCTAACTCATTTAGTTTAAATATTAATTTAAAAGATTACACGGAAAACTATTCTGATCGAATTGTTAGTTTTATTTATCATTTATTTATTATTTGTTCTAAATTTAAGTTAAACATTTTATTCACGTAAATCGAAAGAAAAAAAAACACTAATAATAAAAAAATTTAGAAATAATATACCCATCGTGTTTAGAAAATGCTAGTTAATAAAATAAGAATTTTTTCGTAAAGGTACTTATATTAGGTACTATAGAATACTAAATCGACTTTTCGAATTCGTTTTTTGTTGGCTTTTCAATTTTTTAATTTTTTATTATTAGTAAAAAAAGAAAACGAGGAATTTTATTACTCTCTCTCTCTCACTTCATTTTAAATGGGATTCCCTACGGCACAAAGTGCTACAAAGCTCCCATGAAATTTCACAAGTCCCACTAATCTTCTGGTTGTAATCGCGCATATTCGTAACAGGAAAAAAAGCGTTTATCATATATAGCTAGTAAAACCCATGCGCTTTGAATGCTGATACCAATAGCACAATCGGTTATAAAAATATACACACCAGTAGATATGCGTATGGTATATACGTTTATTTACGCTCGTACACACAAAGTGACACCGACATTTTAGAAATAGTTGTATTTTGTTTTCATGCTATCTCCGTGCACCGATATCGACGATAACTGTCAGCTCGTTTGTTTTGTTTAATACATCCATAAGCCGTAATGTCGGTGTTCGAACGGTCAATATTTTTCGTCGTGAAAATTCGGATGTTGTCAAACGCATGACAACGTTTATATTGTTGTTCTGCTGTTTGAATAAAAGATACACAAAATGAACGTAAGTACAAAATAAAAATCTTACATAAGTAATATTTTTAAAAAAAAATCCACGTAAAACCGTTTTCCAATATCTTCAAAAAGTATGTAACATACAAATATATAGAGCACAAAAATGAGATTTATTACAAATCTAACGTCACTGTACGTTTTTCTTCTACGTCTGTTTGAATGTACGTGATGTGAAATATTATAGATACCTACACAAAAGCAAGGTAGTATACGAGAAAAAAAGATCAGAATAGTTTATATTTCATAAGTTATAACGTAATAATGAACAAAAGGCTGTCGTTCTTTTTTCAAACATTAATAACGTTTAACCCTTTTTCCAAAATCCTGTGATACACGTGGAAATGTATTGATTGACGTAATGTTAAACGAGTGGGAAATATTCAAATTCACTTACATATAATTTTAAAATTAAACCTCCCTATCATTCACGCACGAGTATTTATATTGTCTAGGAAATTTGTATTTAAAATTAAAAACTAAAACAAATATACCCTTTGAATGGCTTTTAGTGTTTCTTACTCGTCGTGGAAATATTATAAACACGATGACATAATACGATTATCCTTATTAGGTTTGCTTTAAGCGTATGTTCAATATTTGTATAGCTACCACACTCGCGTCTTTGTTGCCATTTTGTAATTTCGCGTGTATGCGTGCCAATTTAATAAGTATCCAAGGAGTAGGTACATTCGCCTGCAGTCCGCAATCGAAATCCGGTTTTGCTACTGTATTGACATGATATATTATAGCTACATAGTAACGTTTCACAACAAATCGAGGGATATTTTTTAAATATCGAAATGTCGTAGCTCGTAAAACAAGTGTTTGGAAACGGCGATAGCTATTTCGGTAGTTTATTGTGCAGTGCGTTATAAATACTATTTAATATTACGGGCGTTCTCCACCTGAGCGCAGACACCTCCCCCTACCCTAAAATAGTTATGTCATTTTTATTTTTTACCTTAAAACTATCGGATAGACCGTTTGGGAGTTTCTTTTGAATAGTGTTATCCGGAATTCACGCATGATATAAAAAATCCTGACCTACCTTTTGGTTTGAACTCGCGATGTTGTACCGATGAAGTTATAGTGGATACCCTGAGTGAAAATCAAAAACCTTTAATCGTTAAAAAATCGCGTTGGGTTTAGATAAAGCAAGGAAGGATAATGGAAAAACCACATGATCAAAGTGCCCAGGTCACAGGAATCGGATAATAATGTGCTTTATTTTTGTACTGTCCACAGCATGTTATATAATTCTATAATCGCGCTCATTTGGAATGTAGAAACCTACCTGGATAAAATAACAGCTTACCTAGTATACCGCGCTCAAGTGGCCTACGATTATATCGTACCGCACTCAGATAACCCACTCCCAATTTTATATACATACGTCGTCGTTATACCGATGGCGACCATTGTGTGCAAAGTGACAAGAGTGCAAAACTATGCATAAACGTCTTATTTTATCCCTATATGCACATACCGAGTGATTCATTTAAGTGGGTACACTCATTATCTCGGAAAGTATTAACTTCTTTCGGAATTTGTTTTCTAGAACATTTAAGAAACAACCAGCTATACAATTTTATATCTATGTTATTTTTTGTAACCCTTATTTTTTGATTTTCAAATGGCAATCCATATTAAAAATTCCATAAATAGATGGAGTATTAGTTAAAATAAATTTGAGTGAAAAAATTTTTGATTTCCGTTGATCCGTTGATGAGATATTCAACTTTTAAGTTTGGGTTGGAGGAGAGTAATGATATATTATTAACACGTCGCGCGCCGTACCGCCACACGAATGACACACCACTAATCTCCTCCAATCCAAACTTAAAAGTTGAATATCTCATCAACGAATCGGCGGAAATCAAAAATTTCCGGAAAAATCGTGTACTTTCCGAGATAATGAATATACCCATTTAAATGAATCACCCGGTATGTGCATATAGGGATGAAGAAAGCGTCCGAGTGATATCAAAAATAACTTAGAAACCACTTGGTACATAATTCTTGATTAAAATGGAAACAAATATAAGTTTATTATTATTTTTTTTAAATTTAAATTTTTAAATTACTTGATCACTTTTGGAATGAATGCGACGACGTATCAATATCAAACGAACGCCCATATTCGATTAATTTGTGTCGTTAAAATAAATCGATTAAAAAAAATTATAACAAAACCCGACCACAAACATAGAAAATTACCATTATCCTTGGCCGAAATAAATAATACAATTAAAAGTTTCATCCGTCGATCATACATTTTGTTAGGTATTTAAACAATTCAAATTGTTTCTTTCGATTTATTTGAAAAGTACAATGAAAACACCGCTATAAAAATGGTCAACCAAATAACATTCAGATATTCAAATATTTTATTATTTATTTATTTAACTATAATTTTAAAAAGGAAAAAATTGTGTAATAAATTACCGAGAAATTATTCAATGAGAAGTTTGGAATTGATTGTCTTAAAATATTTCTCGTATTCGTCAACTTTGGTTGTCCGATCAGCAGCGACTCTTGTTCGTCACTAAGTTGTCACTGTCCTAAAATCTGACGTATTTCATTTTTGCAAAAATCTGCTCACATAAATAAAGAATTGGCACTAGAGAAATATCGTAATCGTTTCACGGGTACATTTCTTGGGATTTGGAAAAGAATCGTTCGGCAATGTTTGTAGTCTCATTTCCTTGAAACATTTGTCTTCGAACAGGTTATTTGTTTTAAACCAGACTGTAACGCAGAATACAAGACACGATGAAAATCAATACTGAACGAAAACTGTAAATCTAATTCAATATTATGTACTCATAAATAACAGTGCCGTCGCGCGTTGACTAATATAAGATAACGACATACGTGACATTCGAAGGGTTTTTCGTTATTTTAGTTGTTAAAACAAAATCTTGATAAACACCTTTTAGGGCCTTTTCAGACGAGACGTTTCGTGTCCGGTCTCCCGGCGTCTGAAAAGAATTGCATGGCTAAGATAACATTTCTGTAAATATAAAAATATACACACGGGCACGGACACAGAATACGTGTCCCGTTTCCGCTAGCCGCCGATACTATAATGTATGTTCGTGTCTTGGTTTCAAATAATAGGTACATTATTTTCAATTAATACGTTCGGAGTTTAGACTGAACAAGCTAAAAATACACGTCTATGTACTTTTGTTTTTTTTCCCCTGTATTATTATAACTTCTATTACAATATTGATATAATTATTTATATATATACAGATTGACTTGATATAATTTATATTAGAATTTATTATGAATATTGACACACGTACGTGAACCAATTACAGAGTACACCCGTAAGAACCTTTTACGTAGTTTTTCTTTTCTTTTTTTTCTTTTTTTTGTTCTTTTAATAAGACAATGTACACAATAAAATGACTTCTTCCGCCTCCATGTCGGCCATGTCAATCCACATCATGTCGGGTCAACAATGAATGAAAACTAAAGCCGTCTTCACACGAAGCGACTCCCAGACGACGCGACGGATACTCGAGTATCGGACGTTTGAGTTGCTTTTTAGTAGGATACCCATAACCATAAGCAATACACTTAACTACTCTTAGCTACCACGCGTCGCTTAGGCGTAGCGTCGTTTATGTCTTTCCAGTACTTAATATAGGAAGTGATTTACAAGATACACGAGTATCCGTCACGTCACCTGGAAATCGTCTCGTGTGAAGACGACCTAATAATTCTATCATAATCGTATCGTAATAATATTACAATTAAATATAGTGCCTATGTTTTCATCAGATACCTGTGTTCTGTATACTGGCTCGATTCTAGTATTTGAGACAGATATTTAGGTACCTAAAACCTAAATATTTTTAAATTATCAATATAATTACTGATAATGGTGAGATTCGTTTTTTATTTCTGATAATACCTATGTAATATTTGTCTCTATCCGTATGCGAACTATTAACACCCTATCCCTCGTGTACTTTTCAAAATATTTGTCCCGTCACTTTCAAGGCTCGCGATAAGCCGCCACTGACAGTAACCGCATGTGATGTAAATGGGAGGGGGTAGGATATTATTTTCGTACCAGGGCACAACATTTCTAAATGCGGCTCACTGAGTCTATAATACTAATGATTTGAATTTTAAAAGAACATAATATTATACTGTGTTGCTGTAACAGTTGTAGTAGATGTACATAATTTGATAATAATATAATGAAAACGCGAGTATAGTACATAATATTACTATGATAAATGATGGTGTAACATCCTCTTGAGAATGATATATTATGGAAACATTGGAAACTGCGCGTATAGACGCGGTTATTGTAAACTACTTTGTACTCCCGTATTTCAAATAACTTTGAAATGTTTAACGTTTAACGTATGATCTGTTTATGATACCGTCGTCGCCGTGGTAGGTACCTGTACACAACAATAATATAAAATAGATTATAAACCGTCGCAAACCAAATGCGATTTTGTTGAAGTGAGTGAAACTCGGATAAGTGTTTGTTTGTTTATTAAATTTAAATTTGTGTACATTTTTAAGTACGCAACACAATTTTTAATTCGTGTTCGTACCTATTTTAATTGATTTTTACGAATTATGTCGAAAATTTAAACTTCAAACCTTACCCGTTAATACTTAATAATAGTGGCATTGCTGTTGTTTTCCTTTTATCCAATTTAATAATAAAATAATATACGATCGACTATTATGAGTTATGACGAACAAAATGTGCAGCAGTTCTTTTATAGCAGTAAAATAATTTTATGCTCATGAATCGGAAAAAGTATAATAGGTAAATACGCAAAATGTTCGTGATTTTTACGAGTTTCGGCATTATTTGAACTTCAAACGCTATAAAGGAAAACTATTATATGCCACTACGATTGACCTATTTTTTTTTTGCTATGAATAGTAGCGTTACTCTTTTATCGAAATTTCCTCGAAAATAGAACTTGTTTTATGTGTGCTGTATATTATATAACATATACATATCTTTTTCCTGCTACTTTTGGTCACTTTTACACTCTGGACCAAATAAGCTCAAACTTGGGAATTAAAGTTGTTTTATGGCAGATGGAAATAATAAAAGTTAAGTTGGATTTATTTTTGTTTTTACGGGAGAAGGGTGTTTTTAGCTTTAAACAGTAATAAACATTTTTTTTTTTAACCTTGTCGACATTTTTTTTTTTTAAGGTAGTATGTAATGTACGTAGTATCGTAGTATTGTATTATTAAAGTATTTCATTATTTTTCATCTTGCAAAGAATATTTCTATAATACAAATAAGTGGAGGGGGGAGAGAAATATATAACTTTAAATAAATAAATTTATAATTTAAACACTTATAATAGTGTTCACCCACTGTGCAATTATTATCTCAGAAATGTTAATAAGACGTTCTGTTGAAACACAGAATATCACAAATTTCGTTCCATATAAGTATGTTTAACATCCCTATGTTGTTATTATGGCAGCAATCATGTCTTTCACAATACATTTTTTAAACATGACTTTTTAACATCCGTACAACAGTTATATCACATTGCTTATTGAAATCTCGTTAATACGATATCCCTGATATACTGATAATGGGGCGCGTTTGTAACTCAATCAGGTAAGTTTTAAATCTATTTATTTCTAACATACCAAGAACCACAAAATCGTGTTTATAAAACAACATTATACATACTTGAAAATATAAGCCCTGTATGCAAAAATACAAAAAATAAAAACGCAATAAAACGGAATCTTGTTTCTGCCGCCGCTGGGTATTGAACCTACATAAACCTATGTTAGGCACCAAAAAAAATGTTTAGTGGGCAACTGCTTAAGGGAGTTTTTCTTCTTTTTAATTGAATGTATTAATTATAACGTCAAATTACTGGGAATACCTGGTGTATCACATAAATAATGAAAATTTCAAATTTAACCCCCGTCCCTCTTCTCGATATATTTTCCTGACTACGCCACTGTTGTATAGATACTTAAGCTTATTTGTGTAGATCAAGATCAATTTATACTATATTTTACTCGATCGTATGATAAGCGTAAGTACATAAAAATGTAAAAAAAAAGTCTCCACTCCATATTTAATTGCGTCAATATCGTCAAAATCACTGAACAAATTTAGAGGGCGTGTTTATGACGTGCAATAATTCATAATCTAATAGTACCTATGTAACCCAAAAAAATATAATATACTCAGAAACACAGTAGCATCATAAGCATATTTCAAATCCTAAACAAAGTATTAAAAAATAACACAAACGAGACCACCCCACTTTTCCCCTTGGCGTGTTTCTATAGAACTAAGGAATTCCATTAGGGAAGCGTCGTTCACCACGCCACCGTTGGTAACCGTACTTTTGGGAGAAAATGTTTGTTTTAAATTCATAAAAAAAATATCGTCAAAGTAAAATACAGACCGTTTTATGGCTTAAAGATAAATCGTTTTAGATATACAGGTGGTACGTGCATATATAATAAAGGTGGCAATATGCATTTGTTGTTGTATACGCAACGAAAACTTTTAAATCCTTTGACCTTTGGTATCGTTAAAACTTTGTATACAACAATAATATTCCACTAGTCGTAAACACGAATTCTTGTATGGTATTAACTATACTAAGTGCGTGAAGAAAAATATATCTGTACCCTGTACATAGGTTGGTGCAAGAGGGGGTCATATTTTATTGATTATGAAATAGCGATTTGTAAAATTCAGTTTAAAATAATCGCATCGGGCCCTTTCTAGAACCATTTCAATGGATCAAAACATTCTGATTATTTTTAAGCTATTTAAGATGTTTATTTATAGCCATTCGAAATTGTTGAGGTTTTACTTCGTTTTATGTGGATAAAATTGTTTTAGCCCAGAAAAAATGCTCACATTTCAACTCGAGAGTCGTCATCAATAACAGTATATTACTTAGTATTACTTAGTGGTAAAAAAAATTGTGCGTAATGTAGGTAATCAATAATTTTGTTTAATAAGCATTTAAAGTTCAGTTCGTAAAAATCGCTCTTAAAGTCAAAACATATTTCACTAAAATTCGCTTAAAATCGATTTTTTTTAGCAATAATTTATCGTTGCATACAGATATAAATTAAACTACTCTGTTTATCCTACGATCCCAATTTCCCATCTACAACAGTGGTACAACCATAAGCACGCCCATCAACTGCTGTATCGTCTCTTTTTTTATATATAATTAGATAGGCAATAGTAGTATAGTAGCAATTCCTAAAATATCTTAATATATTAAACTACGTATAATTTAATATACATTTAAAGATATTGTAAAATAAATAAATATTTTAAAGATAAAACATTTTACAATATATTTGTATGTCTAAAGTAAAAAAACATTGTAGTAAACATAAGTAGGAATCATAAAAATCGAAAAACAATTTTTATCAAAATCCTAACCAGAACCACAATATACAATTAATAAATCGTGAAATTTAAATTAATTACTCAGAAAAACTGGGCGCTCTGATTTGAAACCTGGGCTACTAAACATCCCGATTACCTATGTGCGTCTATGAATAGCGGGTCGCATGAAAATCATTTTCGAATTCCTTTCGACGTTATTAAAATAATTTCTGTAATATTATCATTATTTATTTGTAGAAGTGAATTAGTAACATATATTCGTATTATTAATTATACAATATGTAACCTATGACAAAATGTATTGTTTGAGTAACAAAACAATATCGCATATTGTAATATAAGGTTAGCAAAATTTAACTATGAATTCCTCATGGTCACTCTGCAACCATGGCCTTTTCGTCCAAGTTCAGCTGTATACCTACAGGACGGTTTTGTTTTCCATTACGTGGAAGCCATTATTATTTCAGTCAAATTAATGAAGTGCACATACAATTTTATACAAAAACATACGATATGATTTACCGATTTTTATATTATTAATGCGATTTTATAATATTAACAATCGATAGTTTGAATTATGCGCCTACACGGGGTGATCAACATGATGTAAAACATTTATTATCCCGGAAACTATGAACTTTGATTGTAGAACATTTATAAAATTGGTAACTCTACAATTTTAAATTATCCTATTTTTTTTTTTTTTTTGTGCTACACATAAAAATCGGAGCAAAATTGCTGGTAAAAAAGTCGTTCATAGAAAAAAACAAAAACAGAACACCGTTGTAAAACCAATACTAAAAACTAAAAGTAAACGCTTGAAAGAACAAATTCCACTTTTAAGGAACGAGTTCCGTTTTTGTAGTAGGACGAGAAAAGGGAACGAATTCCTTTTTAAAAGGAACGCTGCCGAAACTGGGTCTAACCCCTTCCGAAAGTCCTCCTAGTTGCTTCTATCATGTTAATCATAAATATAAATAGTTTAAATTGTTGAATTAATATCGGACTGAACATGTATTAATGGAATTATATTTTAAAACGAATAATATGTCGAAATATTATAATATGTTATGAAAAATTAGTAGGTGGGTACTTTTCAAATGTGATTTTATACTACACAGTTTTTGTGTGTGTACGTGTGTAAACACCGGTGTGTGGTAATATTGATGGTGTAGGTACTGATACCTACACAAAAACACGGCGACGAACACAACTTTTGGGTCATCCGCGATTGGGAAACGGCGAGTGGCAACGGATCGAAATAAACGAACGGATACAGAATGAAAAAAAACACTATAAAACTGGGCTACGAGGATAACGACTTTATGGTTGAAGAACGGCAGGTGAGTCCAAGCCGGCGACAGCAACGTCATCGCCAGCACGCCGCGGGACTGCCGAACGACCGAATCGACTAGACGTTTACCAGGGGACGTCACGGCGTTATCGTTTGCCGTTTGTTCCATGACGTTCGTACCTATAGCCCGCCGACCCGTCACCTACACGGCTTCACCCCGCTACTGCACTGATCAAAACAGTAACTCGTCCGTCGCACGTATATTTTTCTCGCCGTCGCTTTACAATAACAAAAAATACTGTCGCGCACAGAACCGCGCAAAAAACTCGGTTAATCTATTAGTATTATCGTTATCGAAACATTATTATCATAAAAATATTAAAAATTGTTACTATTCTCAACGGGTCATCGACGACCAGAAATTAATAATATGTAATTTTAATTATTCCTTCCTGCCAGTAACGACAACTCGCGATTGTTTATACTCGTTAGTGCACAACACGTCACAACGCGACCGCCGCAACAATACTTAATATTATAACCATGTCAAATTTTTACAACAAAGTGACTTTAGCCTACACGTCGTCCAAACCGATGAACAAACGTATGACTCTGCAAGAAATATCCCAAGCCAACCAATGGATTAACGGTGAGAACGGTAATGATCGCGATTTTCTGTTTACCCGCAGGGTCTATTTTTATGTGTAGTGGCAAAATTATACAAGTATTACAAGTTTGCAGTAGGTAATTCGTGTGTGTGTGTGTTGTTATTTTGGCACAAGAGTTCAATGTACTCTTGTATCACGGTAATGTGATTTTTGTTTTGTTTTCTTCGATAATACTATTGGCATTTTTGTACCTACCTACATACCATAACGAAGGAACAGAAATCGAATCAGTTAACTAATAGTACATACGAGATTTAGTTGTAACATTTCCATTTTAATTACCCAACTGGTCGGTTTAATAATAACACAGATGGATAGTTTGTGAGAAAATACATGTTTTGTCTGTTTTCCTACTTTTATAGCAAATATCATCGACGAGTGCTAGATTATCAAATAAAAACTATGTTATAGGTAGGTACCTAATATTTGTGTTCACTGTTTGCATAAAATTACTTCAGTTTTTTATCAATGTTGTTATAACTATAATTATGTTGCCTAAACACCCAAGTATCCACGGCACAAAGTATAAAATGATAACGTTTTTAACCGTCAACTATCCTATTCTGTTGTCTGGCCATTCTGGCTGTGGGCAGCATAGACAATCTACAGTAGCCTGAACTATTTTGACTATTTTTGCAATCCTCCAGATCTAAATAATATAATTAAACTAACCATAAGTACGTGATAGGTATATTATTATGATGTTACTTAGATAAGTACATATGTACAGAATGTTGAACATATTTAAACAAATTGGTGATTTATTATGCATAATTATATCAACTCATGCACTTTATAATGTGCAATAGCAAAAATAATAAAAAAATAGTTTCTGATTTTCATTCTTAATATTTTTGAGTTTCGACTGAATTATCAAGGTTTCACTGTGTTTGGTCATTTGAAAACACAATTTATGTTCTATGTTACAGATACTCTGAGCGCTAATTCATATGGAATGCCTCAATCTGGTTCCACTGTGTCTCAGAGAGAAAGTTCTAGTTTCTTACCAGTCACTCAACCAGCCAGTGCACCAGTGTCTCCAGTGGGTTCCCCGGTTGCACAACTACTGACCACTCTATCAAATATAACTTTGGATCCAAATTGGCAGGCAATTAAGTCAACTGTACGCGAGCGTAATGCTGCTATGTTCAACAATGATCTTATGGCTGATATATACTTTATTGTCGGTAGTCCAGGTTAGTGTTTCACTTATAATATAGTATAGGTTTGTAACAGTTATATATAATGTACTTGTAAAATGTCATTATTATTATACTAGGACACACTCAACGTATACCATCGCACAAGTATATTTTAGCAACAGGAAGTTCTGTTTTTTATGCCATGTTTTACGGTGGCTTAGCGGACACTAAAGAAGAAATTGAAGTTCCAGATGTTGAGCCCACTGCTTTTCTCACATTATTAAGGTTTGTAAGACAAATCTTTTTCTTTTTTTTCAATAATTAAACTCCAATGGTTTAATTTATTTTTTTAGGTATTTATATTGTGATGAAATTCAATTAGAAGCAGATACCGTGTTAGCTACACTGTATGTGGCTAAAAAATACATTGTTCCACACTTAGCCAGAGCTTGTGTTAATTATTTAGAGACAAGTTTAACAGCTAAAAATGCATGTTTACTGCTCAGTCAGTCTCGATTATTCGAAGAGCCAGAACTGATGCAAAGATGTTGGGAAGTTATTGATGCACAAGTAATAGTTTTTTTGAAACAAATAATTTGTATTTAATAACCTTAGCTCTACTATTTGTATTTAATTACCTACAGGCAGAAATTGCATTACACTCTGATGGATTTGTTGACATTGATGCTGACACACTACAAAGTGTATTAGGACGTGAAACGATCAATTGTAAAGAAACAATATTGTGGGAAGCAGCTATGAACTGGGCATCAGCTGAATGTAGTAGACGAGAAATAGATCCTACACCATCAAATAAAAGACAAGTATTAGATTCCGCTCTGTATCTACTCAGATTACCAGCAATGTCTTTGGAAGAATTTGCTAACGGACCAGCTCAAATGGGAATGCTAACTTTAGAAGAAACTGTTGATTTATTTTTACATTATACCGCATCCAACAAACCTTGCCTGACTTATCCAACCAAACCACGTGTTGGACTAAAACCTCAGACATGCCATCGATTTCAGTCCTGTGCATACCGTAGTAATCAGTGGCGATATCGAGGACGTTGTGATAGTATTCAGTTTAGTGTTGACCGTCGTGTGTTTATTGTTGGTTTTGGTCTTTATGGTTCGTCGACTGGGGCAACCGATTACAATGTTAAAATTGAACTCAAACGTCTGGGTCGTATTTTGGCCGAAAATAACACAAAATTCTTCTCTGACGGTTCAAGTAACACTTTCCGTGTGTATTTCGCGCATCCTGTACAAGTAGATCCTGAATTATTTTATACTGCTTCAGCTATATTAGATGGGGTGGAACTAAGTTATTTCGGCCAAGAAGGGCTTAGTGAAATAAATGCTGGTTGTGTAACATTTCAGTTCCAATGTTCATCTGAAAGTACTAATGGAACTGGAGTTCAAGGTGGTCAAATTCCTGAACTTATTTTCTATGGACCAGCCAGTGAGGATCATTAGTATTTTTTAAATTGTTAGTAATCCGAATTAAAACTCAAGTAAATAAAATATTACAATATAATGATGAAATTATGAAAAAAAATGTCCTCCATAAAATTTGTATTTTGATTGTATCACTCTAAATCACTACTTAAGTCTTGACATTAAATATTTATTCTTGACAAATATTATTCAATTTAAAATATTGTTGGACATATTATTTATTTATTTTTCTGTTATTTTGTTGGTTTAGTTATTATTTGTTGCACAGAAAATTATGTATTTCATAATCATAAACATTTTAAGAATTTTTTAGATATTATGTTAATTTTATAACATTGTTAAAAACCACACAAAATAGATATTATATTTTCAGAACAATATAATGTTTATAATAGTTTATGAAATATTTTTTGTAACTGTTTATTATAATTCTTTTCTTTTTCTTTTTTCTATTTTTTACTATGTAGAATGGTGTAAAAATTACGTCAAATACAATAATATAAACACTATTAATTAACGATTTTACTACTTCAATTAATTAACATTATTATTTTATCGCCTTTTCTTTGTTATTTTAAACAAATCCTAATACGCTCAATATGCTTATGCATATAAATATTAACTATTATCAAATTTACATGTATTTTTTATTATTTTTAATATATATTTAAAGTTTTTTAGTTTTAGTTAACTTACATCATTGTCATTTAATTACATATAGTATTAATTTATTTTATATATTAATGACTTTTTAGTCGTAAATTTTACTTAGAAATTTAGATATATATTTTTAATACATAATTACTTAAAAATTAATACTAGGTTACCATTAACTATGGACTGTATTTTGAGCTTTAGCAATGATATAAGAATAGTTTTATGATTGTTAATTTTAATATTATATAAGTATTTCACTCTCGTGTATTATTAAATATTTGTTATTCTTAAAACTTTTTTTGGTGCAAAAACATATTTTGAAACAAATTTGTATTTTCTCAATTTATACTAGCTTTCTCACAAAAATCAATTTTCTATAATATTAATTTTTATTTAAAAAAAAAAATACATTTTTTCTTTGAACATTGACTAGACTAATGTCCACAAATTATAAAATTGGTTTTTGTTAGAATAAAATGTGTAAGTATTTCTAGTTATTTATGAACACATAGTTTTATTTAGTAGACTGTGATAGGGTTTATTTTTATTTGTATATTTCATATTTTTAAATAAAACACATTTTGTAAACATTTTCTTTTTTTTTTTATTAAAAATATATATGTGCATATGTTTATTTTGTTTATCAGGTCAAAGAAAATCAACCCAAATGTAATAAATAATATTAAAAACTATAATGAAAATATGAACAGAGTTTCTAGACTAATTAGATTTAATCAAATATTGTATACCTACACATAGGCATAATTAAGGGGTATTAGCACCCTCTGATATTTTTCATTAGGGTTAAGGTTTCAATATAGTATAAAAGACTTACAGATTTATCAATATTATTTAGGATAATCAACATAACAAAAGAAACTCATTATCTTGGAAAGTATTAATTTTGTTTTTTAGTTCATTTAAGAAATAAGTGAAACCCAAAAATGTTATATTGCGGTAATTTTTTGTCACCCTTATTTGAAGGGATAAAATCACTACCTACTTTTAGTTAAAATACATTTTGTTATTGAAATTTCTGATTTTCGTTGCAGGGATATTCCACTTTTAAGTTTGGGTAGGGAGAGATTGGTGAAACACTATTAGGCCTGTTGCAGAGCAATAGAGCAAAACTGTGTTGGGCAGTGTTAGTCAGTCAGCCCTGCTTAACACTATTTTGCTAAAACTATAATATGAAATATATATTACATTGCATAATATTATATACCCTGATAAGACGAAACAAAACATTTCGCTTTAAACATAATTGGTCGTGACTGGTACTATTTGAAATGTCCGCATTTTTTGTTAGTCACAATTAGACAAGAAAGAAAACTTGTGTCTATTTTTCATATTTTGTATTTATTTTTAATATTTGTTTTTATGTGTAAACTAAACTGTTACGAGTCTTGTGATGGAGAAATTGGTTAATTTAATGAAAATGAGAGCATATATTTATGATTTTAATGACAATGAAACATAGCAATTAAATTGTTCAAGACAAGTTATGGGAAAGAAATTAATGTTGATGGTAATTTTAATATTAATACGAGTATATTGAAAAAGCCAGACATACTTTGCACGACGGATTGACCACTGTTTTAGATGAAAAGTTGAGAAGGTAGGATATAGAGAGAAATTTATTGTATAACTGTAAGCAATTAATCGTTGCTTATGAAAAACGATTCTGGGCGGAGCTCGGTTAATAGTATTGTTTTTCCAATAATATATATGTAATATTATAGCTATATACATAGAAACAATTTGTATGGACCAGTAACTAGATTTATTCCACATAATTTTTTAGTAAAACGGTTTTCGCTAAATTTGATATTAAAATTCTTATAAAAAAAATACATTAAAGTAATTTTTTTTTTTTTTGACCATAAAGCACGACTTCTTATGATCCTCCTGTTCAGTTTTCAAACATTTCTGGTTAGTTTAACAATTTCATCCACAGAGAGTAATTACAAAATTAAAATTAAAATGTCTATAAAAAGCTCAAAAATGGCTTAAATGTTTTTACAGTTTTGCCACATTTAGAAAAGGCAAATATAAATTTCCCGTCCTAATTTCAAGTCGCTACGAATGTTTTCAACTTAATTATAAATGCATTATTTTCGTAAATATTCCCGTTTTTACTCAGATATTACGAAAACCGCTTAGAAAAACAGTATATGACCTCCTTAAAACTACCATATAGACAAAATTTCCTACCGCCACTAGACCACGACTGACACTTTTTTTATATGTACCTCTAGTAGGCTTGGCCTTGCCGCTGAACGACAGGCATACTAAACAATATTAAGTATATATTATTATCTATAGAAAAAAACCGGCCCGCGGCCGTGACAGAGCACTTGTACCGCAGGCTGTCTGGCTGTGGAGCCTGTAGCCCGCAGTCGGTTGTCAGACTGTCAGCGGTGAGGTGTACTGTTCACCTCTCCGTGCTGTGGCAGCACACGATTTCATCTAGGCTATAATTAACTTATCAGTAAATAAATGGTATTTCGGGAGTGATAGTTGTTCTCAGAATGTTGCATTGATTTTAATGACATTGTTGCCTATTATTATTGATGTAACGCAACGAAGTATAAAACACAGCTGTAGATAGCGCCATTGTGGTACGAACAAACGATTTGCATCGTAAATTAAATAATATAATATAATGTCATTCTGTTATTTATTTCAATTATACAGACAGCGAGCGAGTTCTATCACCAGACGGGATGTATTTTATTTAAATGTTCCAGTTTTTCGGCGAGGTATTAAAATAATTTTAAGAAATATTTTTACTGATAATTGAGTATAGACAATGGGCATATCTTTGTGGATCGCTCTGTATGTGTAAAAGAGACTTACTGTTGTTATTATTATATTATGTTAATTAAAATCAGGAAAAACTTAGAACATTGGAGCGTTCATCAATAAAACAGAAGACATACATTTCAACAAAAATCATCGTAAAATAAAATCATGAACATTATAGAAACGGAAAATGGTAGTAATGTATTTCTCAACACTAAGAAAAACATTATTGTTGAATAATTTCCAATTTTCATGGGATGCACAAAATCCTAAGATTGTTTAACTTGTAATCAAAAAAAAAATAATAATTAACAACGCATTAGTCCTTAATTGACTTTATTTTTGTATTTAATGGGGGGGGGGGAAGGCGATAAGGCGCGATAGATCTAAGGCGGTAAACATTATTTTTTCGGAGGCCTACAAATAGGTGATGATTTTTTTTTTACCCATCACCAAAATAAATATTCAGAAGTGTAAGTTTTCTTAATTATGTCTATTTAATTATAAACATTTATAAAATATGCGTAGCGATTTTTATTTTGTAAGCTTCAACAGCAATCATATTGTTTTACGAAAAATCACTATTATTATGAAAAATGTATTATGATTTTGATTACATAAGCTTTAAGAGGACGCTATACCCGCATGTGCTATTTCACTCTAAATAATGGGTGATATATCTGTCTTACAAAGTCTGCGTAAAATCGCTCTATGATAAAATCAAAACAAGACAATATTCCAGAGGGCGAGACAATACGTTTTTTTTTTTTTTTTTTTTTTTTTTAAATCATTTTTTTGAATTTTACAGTAATTTAAAAACGATGAATCAGGTATTATTCTTAAACGATGTACTGAACGTTATAACCGGAATAATAATAAAAACGCATAGCCGTCCTCCTGAATATTGCCGTTTTTTGATTTTATAATCGGCGGTTTTACTCTAAAAGCAAAATTAAGCAAGTTCTACGCAAGTTGCGTAAGCCAGGTATTGCTATAGCTCATGCGGGTATAGCCGTCCTCTTAACAGCAACCATATTGTTGTCGAATGCTTTGATCACCACTATTTAACCTATATAAAAGTTTATTTAATCAAATTGCTGTCAAATAACGGTTTAAAATTTCAAAACTAAAAATAACCTAACTATTTCTATAGCAAGTTAAGAAATTTAATAAAATAACTAAATGTATTTTTATGTGGAATTTTTAAGTAAAATGGAATTGCATGTAGAATGTGTTTTAATGGAATATCAACTATTACAAATATTTAGGGAATGTGAATTGTTATCATCATGATGATACATAATCAATATTATGATTTAAGCAATGATTCGATAGAATTTATTTCTGCTTTTAAGAAAATATTAATAAGACGTCATCAAGTTGAATAAACAAGTCTATAGTTTTGTTAATCCAACTTTAAACTGAAGGTTTATTTATAGGTATTTATATATAAATTAGTTAACTTAGGTAAAAAGTTGAAATGTAAACAAATTTTAAATTCATTTAGCTAAAAAAAGGTTTAGTTTATTTTGCTAAAAATAATTTACGGCAATATT